CGACCTAGTCCGCGACTCAGCTCCAGATTCGGTAACCTCGTTCCTTTTGTTGTTCCGTTCCTAACAATTTTAAGACGTTCGGCTGCTGCTATGTCGACTGAACAGAACAACATGGCCGGATCTGGTGCTGTCGATATCAATCGACCCTTTCGCTTCGTTGGGGTCAACTTCCGTCGCTGGAGGCAAAAGATGGAGTTCTACCTGACAACCAAGAAGCTGGGCAACTGCCTCACCAGCATGCCTGTCGAGCTTCCGGAAGAAGCGACCGATGAGGAGAGGGCTGCTTCTGCCAGGGAAAGGGAGCATGACTTCCTGTGCAAGAACTACATCCTCAACGGCCTGGCAGACGATCTGTACGACTACTATGCGGACAGTAAGAACACCGCGATGATGATCTGGGATGCGCTTCAAAAGAAGTACGACACGGAGGAGGCTGGAGCTAAGAAGTATGCTGTCAGCCGCTACCTGCGCTACCAGATGGTGGATGACAAGTCCGTCGAAGTTCAGTCCCACGAACTTCAGAAAATAGCTCATGAGATCGTCTCTGAAGGTATGCCTCTGGACGATCAATTTCAAGTTGCTTGCATTATTGATAAGCTGCCCCCTTCGTGGAAAGATTTTAAGAATATGCTTAGGCACAAAACCAAAGAATTTTCACTGGAAAGCTTGATTACTCGCCTAAGGATTGAGGAAGAGTCCCGCAAGCAGGATATGAAAGAAGAGGTGATGGTCGTCACTGCTAAACGACCCACCCCTAGAGCTCTTAAACCTAACCAGAAAGGGTTTAAGAGTAAGAACCAGCAGGTCCGCCCCCACCAGAATGGTGCCTCTCGAGGTAACCAAAGGATCATGGCCCAAACCTCTAAGAATGACCCACCGTTTATCTGCTATAACTGTGGAAAACCGGGTCATATGGCAAAGAAGTGCCGGAACAAGCAAAACCCTGCCACTGCGGCCAGGGTTAACTTGACAGAAGAGGATTTGATAGCCATGATCACAGATATGATCGCTGAAGTTAACCTCACCGGTGACTCAGAAGGATGGTGGCTGGATACAGGTGCATCGAAGCATGTATGCAACAATCGTGCTATGTTCAAAACATACACAGAAGCACCTGCTGACAAGAAAGTATTGTTGGGGACTACCCACACTACTATGGTTGCTGGTTCTGGTGAAGTGGAGCTGAACTTCACCTCTGGGAAGAAGATGGTGCTCAAGGATGTGTTGCACACTCCAGAGATAAGGAAGAATCTTGTTTCGGGATATCTTCTTAATAAGGCTGGGTTTAATCAAACTATTGGGGCAGACTTGTATACCCTTACTAAGAATGGGAGTTTTGTGGGAAAGGGATATGCATGTAATGGGATGTTCAAGTTGAATGTCGAAATTAATAAGATGAATTCTTCAGTTTACATGGTGTGTGATTTGAATGTTTGGCATGCTCGTCTTTGTCATGTGAACACACGAATTGTGAAGAATTTAAGCAAGCTAGGGCATATCCCTAAACTCTCAATGAATGAATTTGATAAATGTGATTTCTGTAGCCAAGCTAAAATAACGAAAACGCCCCATAAATCTGTGAGTAGAGAATCAGAACCCTTAGATCTTATTCATTCTGATATTTGTGAACTAGATGGGACGTTAACTAGGTCTGGCAAGAGATACTTTATCACTTTCATAGATGATTGCTTTGATTATTGCTTTGTTTATTTGATGAAAAACAAAAGTGAAGCCCTTGATATGTTCAAGGTATTTGTGGTTGAATTTGAAAATCAGTGCAATCGAAAGATAAAAAGACTTAGGAGTGATAGAGGATCAGAGTATGACTCTAATCCCTTCAAGGAATTCTATAGCTCACATGGTATCATCATGAAACCACGGCACCATATTCACCAGAAATGAATGGTAAAGCTGAGCGGAAAAATAGGACGTTTACAGAATTAGTCGTGGCTATTATGCTCAATTCTGGAGCTGCTTCTTCTTGGTGGGGTGATATTTTGTTGACAGTTTGCTATGTGCTAAACCGTCTTCCAAAAACAAATAGAAAAGAATCACCCTATGAGATCTTGAAGAATAAGCCACCTAATCTGTCCTATTTAAGAACGTGGGGCTGTTTGGCCTACGTAAGAATTCCGGATCCTAAGAGGATTAAATTGGCTAGTCGAGCATATGAATGTGTCTTCGTTGGCTATGCGGCCAATAGTAAGGCATATAGATTCTATGATTTGAATGCTCGTACTATAATAGAATCCATTGATGCTGATTTCTTTGAGACACGATTTCCATTTAAAACAAGAAATAGTGGGGGTAATGTACTACCTACTATTAGAGATAACGGAACTAGTGGGGGTGTTGGTTCTGAGGATGAACTCAGAAGAAGTAAAAGAGCTAGAATCTCTAAAGATTTTGGTGATGACTTTACTACAGTATTCACCCTCGAAGATCCAAAAAGTTTGCAGGAAGCATTAACTTCCGTAGATGCAGATTTTTGGAATGAGGCCGTTATAGATGAAATGGAATCGTTAGAAGCTAATAAGACTTGGCATCTAACAGACTTACCTCCTGGCTGCAAAGTCTTAGGTAATAAATGGGTTCTAAAAACGAAACGGAAACCTGATGGTGCAATCGAAAGGTTCCGAGCTCGCCTAGTAGTTAAGGGCTACAGGCAGAGAGAGAATATAGATTTCTTCGATACCTATTCACCAGTATCTAGAATAACATCCATTCGTGTAATGATTGCTCTTGCTGCCTTGAACAATCTCGTGGTACACCAAATGGATGTTAAGACCGCTTTTTTGAACGGTGATCTAGATGAAGAAATCTATATGGAACAACCAGAAGGGTTTGTTATCCCCGAACATGCCTCGAAAGTCTGTAAGTTAGACAAATCATTATATGGTTTGAAACAGGCTCCAAAACAGTGGCATGAGAAGTTTGACACTCTCGTTCTCTCACATGGCTTTAAGGTGAATGAAAGTGACAAGTGTATTTACTGCAAGTCAGAAAATAACACTTGTACTATCATATGTTTGTATGTAGATGACATGTTGATATTTGGAACAAATATTCACGTGGTCAATGAAGCAAAAGCCATGTTAAAAGAGAGCTTTGAAGTGAAAGATCTGGGAGAAGCAAAGTTTATGCTTGGAATCCAGATAACTAGAACAGCAAATGGTTATTCTCTAGATCAATCTAGCTACATAGAGAAGATCTTGAAGAAGTATAACTATTTCGACTGTAAACCTGCGTGTACTCCGTATGATGCTAGTGTAAAGCTATTTAAGAACACTGGAGACAGTGTAAGACAATCAGAATATGCTAGCATCATTGGCAGTCTCCGTTATGCTGCGGATTACACTCGACCAGACATTGCATATGTCGTGGGATTGCTTGGCAGGTTTAACAGCTGTCCTAGTAGAGAGCATTGGAATGCTATAGAGAGGGTCATGAGATACCTCAAGAGAACAGCAAACCTTGGTATACATTATCAAAGGTTTCCTGCTGTACTAGAAGGGTATAGTGATGCGGATTGGAATACCCTATCAGATGACTCCAAGGCAACCAGCGGGTATGTTTTTAACATCGCTGGTGGAGCTGTGTCTTGGAAGTCAAAGAAACAAACAATCCTAGCTCAATCAACTATGGAATCAGAGATGATAGCACTAGCAACGGCTAGTGAAGAAGCAAGTTGGTTGAGAGGATTGTTGTCAGAGATTCCCCTATGGGAAAGACCGGTCCCTCCGGTATTGATCCATTGTGATAGTACCGCAGCTATCGCTAAAGTTGAGAACCGGTTCTATAACGGAAAGAAACGACAGATTCGTCGTAAGCACAGTACTGTAAGAGAACTCCTAACGATAGGAGCAGTGAGGGTGGATCATATAAGATCCGAACAGAATCTAGCTGATCCTTTGACGAAAGGATTACCTAGAGAGAAAGTCCAGAATACCGCCAAGGGTATGGGACTTATGCCTACCGAACCACGGACTACAAGTGATGGTAACCCGACCCAATAGACTGGAGATCCCAAGAAATGGGTTCAATGGGTAATAACAAGTCATGAGTAGTATGCGAAAAGTTCATGCATAGTGAAGCATGAATCCCAAAGCAGTGGAGGTTGAGTTAATAACTCTTAATGAGATCTATACCCTATGTGGGGTGGAGTACTTTACTTTGGGGGTACTCTTGATAGACTCACCTATGTGAATGTGGGAGTGGGGCCGCTCCCTATGGAACTTTGGAGGCACAAAGCTGCTAGAGCGTTCACTAAACCAGGGTAACGTGCATGGCCATAAACGCACGGGCTATGAAGAGAACACAACTCAATGAAAAGATCCGGTGTGCTACACTGTCTGAGATAGGGTTCAAGACTACGAGTCACCCTTATGAAATCGGAAGTGTAACCACTACGCTAAGGTTCAAATCTTCGCGATACCTTAGCTTATGCCCGATCTTATGGAACTGTTGATGCTCAGAGATAGTTTCAAAACTATTCAAGTGGGGGATTGTTGGAAATGAATGTATATGAATAGCTTTGAAAGCTATAGAGTCTCTAGTGGAAAAAACTACCACATTGGTAGTTTTACTTGGTGAAATGTGTATAAAGATAGGAGCCTCTCTCCCAAGGGCATGCCCCTTGGGGTGACCCACTTTTGTGGGAGAGGGAGGACCTAATGGACCACCACACGCACGCGCGGTTGGTTGGTTGGTTGGTTGGTTGGTTCACTTGAGACTATATATATATTTTTGGAGAAATTCCGAACGAAATTAATTATTTAATAATTAATTATTAATCTGTTATTCTGAGGTATATTCCTAAGGATAATCGACTAAAACGGAATATTCGAAGGATAATCCCTCCGGGTTTATCTTAACCGACGGTTTTAATTAAGGAAGTAATTATCTTCCTTAATTAATCCGACTTATTCCCCAAGCAAGAGGGTATATTCCTAGGGGTTCGGCTCCTATAAATAGCCGCCTCCCCAGCCCCTCTAAAGATCATCACAACGAGCAGAAACACAATAGAGAGAGTGTTTAGAGAGCTTCGGTTTTCGCACAAAACCGCGAGTATTGAGAGGAGCTTTTTATCCTGGAGACGACCGGTTGATAGTCTGCCGTGCGCATCGAAGGCAGTGCCGCGAACGTCTTAAAGAAAGCGACCTAGTCCGCGACTCAGCTCTAGATTCGGTAACCTCGTTCCTTTTGTTGTTCCGTTCCTAACAGGTCTAGGAGCACTTGAGGCGTACTAGGCATGAGGTACAGTGGTTTCAGCTGCTATGGAAAAGCAAAAACATTCCCAAGAACATATTTATAGTTTGGTTGGTGACTCAAAATCGCGTGCAAACAAGATGATCCGATGGGGGTATAATGGAGATGTTTCCTCTGTGTTCTATGGTCATGCTCTGGAAACCAAGGATCACATCTTTGCTTCTTGCCCTGTTTACTATCAACTTTTTGCTTCTCTGTTCTCCCACAAATTCGGTCATACCCCTACTCAAACTTGGGACGGGGAACTGAGTTGGGCTATTCGCAGTCTGAAAGGAGGAGAAGTGGCAGCTCCGGTGGGGAAGCTGGTTGGTGCTCCTTGGAAGGGGAATTGACTAGTTGATCTCTCAGATAAAATTCGAAGTAGGCAATTATTTTGTATTCCCTCATGATTTTGGTTTCCGATAGATAGATTGTAGTAGAGTTATATAGTGATTGTCATCCTAAGTTGGCTGCCCGTACTATATTTTTTTCTGATGAAATACAAATTGTCATTCATCGAAAAAATACAAATATCAATGTCATGCAATGGTGTGAAATGGGGGTGATATCTGGTTTGGTTTAACCGATAACCTTTTACTCGGTTATTATTTAATTGCTACCTGTTTTTTGCTGTAAAAAATGAATCGGTTGCTATTAATGATGAGCAGATAGTCAAGTTAACATTTATCAGTTACCTAACCGGATAATCAGCAACAAGATCTCAGCATGATTAGACCATATAACTTTATGAAAGAAGAATAAGAAGGATGTCCCATGGGTCGCGGTGGTAAGAACACAATTTAATGAAAGAAGAACATGATTATGATTGTTAGACTATGGAAATGAAGAGTGGTCAACAAATTATTAAGAAAGGGTCATGGATGTCGGAAGAAGATCAATGTATGTTTAACCATGTTCACCAGCACGATCCTCATGAGTGGAGCTCCATCCGATCCAAAGGCCTCTTGTAGTAGACTGACTAGCCTTACTGTCTATACTGGAACACAAGGTCTGATCCAATTTGAAGAAGTATTTAATGGGTTGTAGAGAAATAATTTTCGTTGATGAAATCCAAACATGCATGTAGGTACTAATTTCCCCCATCATTTTTGTTCTATTTTTTGTACTAGATGCAAATTTCTATAGGAAGAATAGAGAATCGTGATCAAGTTGCGGACCCGATATGGGAACAAATGTGTCCAACGATGTGTGTCGGTTGGTACTGCTTAGACTCTGACAAATAAGACAAATGAAAGCTAGGGTCAAGGATTCTTCTATTAGGGGTAGAAGGTAGAGAATACGGAGGGAAGCCGGTGTGTGATGGGTGGTAGTGGCAATTACTCTAGTTGTTGGGTCATGTTGGTGCATGGGTTCTCTTGATTTTGATTTATGACTTAGGGAGAGTTCAGAACAGTAGGTAGTTTTAATGGTATATAATAGTTTAACCATAGTTAAATCATGGTTTCAACACAAAATACTCTAATACAGACGTTTTCGGTGTAATTTCTAGTACGATTTTACAATCCTTGATGTATAGAAGGATAGGTACTTCTTATGTGATTTTTTCGGTATAATCTTCACTACGATAGGGTATAATAAATGCCTATGAGTGTTCGGACCGGTAAGTATTTTTACTAGTATAAAATGGTTAAACTACAGTTTACCATGGTTCCAACACAAAATACCCTAATCATGATGTTTTCAGTATAATCTCCAGTACAATTTTACAATCCTTGTTTTATAGAGGGATATATATTTCTTAGGTGACTTTAGGGGGAGTTTGTCGATGAAACGCCTCACCCTCATGTTTTCTTCACCAGCCAGTAGCTTAGTTTTGTTTCCTATTGCTTTTCTCTTTTGTTTTGTATAATCAAGGTTAACTTCCACCCCAGAGGCACCTTAACCTTCTCATTATTTTTAAAAACTCATAGAACTCGTCCCTTATCACCTGAGTAAGTGGTTATGAGAGACCCTACGGAATACGATTCTTGTCATTAGACTAGGTAAATTTGCATCCACGCACTAAATGCGATTATAGCCCATGTACAAATTGGTTGTTGTTGTAGAACATCATTCCTAGGGTTCGACTTGCATTATTGATGCTTTTATGTTTTCGTAAAGATCATTTAAATAAAAGTAAGATCAATAGCTTGAAGGATGCTCATTTTTTGTGGATTAGTCATGTCATTCCAGAGGTATCACATAAAGTTGGATTGTTTGTTTGTCTGTTCATTTCAATGAAAGTTTACTCAATTAATATGGTATCAGAGATTTCGTCAATGAAATATGAGAGACCTTCTTTTTCCCTCAATTCAACAAACTATGCCCAATGGGAATTACAGTTTAGAGTGTTTGTAGAAGGAAGATGGCTCCTTGTTGAGTGGATTCAAGATGATGTAAGGGTCCAATCTTGGCAGATGGGATTTGTAGATCCATCAACTTGTCTAAGTATTTGTCTATTTGTTACTATAAAATTGTATGTGGAGTCATCTGGCTTCCATATACTCGACAGTGAACACTGCACGCAGTTGGAAATTTAGTTCGCACGCCATATTTTGAGCAAGGAGATTGTTCAACATAAAATATTTCAATGTGAACAATAATTGTGGAAATAATAAGATCTATGGACTACTACCAATCGACCTTAGGTTGTTTTTTAGGCGGTACTTGTGTAGAGGCAAAAAACGACTTTCTCCATTTCTTGATGTCTCAAGCCATAATTTGAATTCATATGATTGACACTTTTTAAGAAGAAAAAAATGTTTGATGGTGTCTTCAGATATCTTGCTCGATAAGAAATTTGTTTCAGAACTCTTGTCCAACTTGAACTTGTCCTAGAGGGAAGGTGAGACTATCATTGTTGCATTTCTTTACTATCGGTATGCCTTTGTTATTGATAAACCTTAATTCCAAAAGCGCATTCCTATCACAGAGCTGCAGTGTCACCACAACCATCAAGGATATTGGAGAGTTGTCATACTTCTTAGCTTGGAGGTTACACACAACTCAAGACTCAAGAGGGATCCTCCTTTATGAACATAAGCACATTTCAAACCTTCTTGGTGATCATATTTTGAAAACTATAAACCTTTTATGACCTCTATGGAACTGAATCTAAAGTTTCATTGTGATTATGGCGAGCTATTCGAGGTTCGTACATTGCATTCTTCGGTATCTGCAAGGCACACTACGAAGTGGTTTATTTTTGTCTAGTGAGTTTGCTACTCTCTACATGCTTATTCTGATTCTAACTTCATAATTGCATCGATCCTCATTGCTCATCTAGGAGGTGGTGTGTCCGTTCGGGAGTACACTTTATTTCTTGGCATTGTAATAAGCATGACAATGTCTCCAAGTCTTCCACTGAGGATGACCATCAAGCAATTTGACGTGGTATCTGAACTGGTCTGATTGCATCATCTTCTGACTGGTTTTTCGGTATGACTTGTCTAGTTCCTATGGATCTTCTGGTGGAAAACATTAGTGTTATTCGCATTGTTGTTAATCATGTGCTGCATAGTAATACTAAACACCTCGAGAGACATGTCCACTATATTGTTGATTCGGTTCAGAATGGTATCATTCTTATTCACTATATTCGAATCGAGGATCATGTTGTCAATCTTCTCATTAAAGCCTTCTCCAAAAGTCCCATAGGTATTTATCATGCAAAATTGATGCTTTGTAATCTGCATCAATTTGGTGGAGGTTGTTAGACAATATTTTTTGGGTAATGTCTATTTTTTATCCAAATCTTTTTCAGATTCTTTTATATTATCCAAATCTATTAATTAATTAGCCAAATCTATCATAATGCATCAAAATATTAGCCCATTTTACGTTATCGTTAATAATTTTGTAACTCTTTTCTTAGTTAAAAAACTAAAATTTTGGAATGTTGATCTTCATGTGTCTCTTCCAAGTCAATATCATGTTGCCAAGTCAATATTACTAACAAAATTGCTAACTTGAAGTTAGCATTTGACTAATTCTTAGTATTTCGTTGATTTGGTTAATATAAAAGAATCTGAAAAAGATTTGGATAAAAAATAAACATTACCCATAAATTTTTGTATAAGTTTATGTATAATTTAGAATAGCCCACATGTACGTAGATATTATTATCTAACACATTAGCCCATAATTATTTGGTTTATGCACGGATTGATTGTTGTTGTAGATCCATCAATGGGGGTGATAGTCGGGTTAGTTAGCCGTTACCTACCAACCAAAAAATCATTACCTTCAGTCAACCAGGCAAGGCTTAGCGATTAACCGTTAACCGTCAATGTGATTATTTTAGTGGTTAACCGTCTACCTGTCTGAAAGAGAGAATGGTGATATTTGTGGATTTCGAAAAATACAAGGGGCATAGTTGTCTTTTTAGAGAATATACAAAAGTAAAGTGATGGACATGAAAAATCTGAGCCACACACTCTCGTATTCTTGCCTCTCTCTTTTTTGCTCTCTAGATAAAAAAAAAATGAATCCACTCCCTTTGTGAACCAATGAACAGAAGAAAACACAACCCTTATTTTCCTTCACTCTCGATCAGTTGAACCTAGCCGCCACCTCTTCTCTTATCTTCCCTATCCAAGTAAAGTAAAAGAGGAGGGTTGAGGGCGTCGAGAACATCGATGTCGGCAATCGTCGCTTCTCTCTCTCGATCTGCCAGGCGATTTGATGGTGAAGGCACCAGAGAGGGTCCTTAGCATGACATCAACCAATTCGTGGTTAGCATAACAGCTTCTTTGAGCGTCCTCCATTCTCCGACTAAGCATAGAAGACGAGGGGATTGGAGTTAGTGAGTGCAGAGTGGTTAGGAGGAAGTTGTTTCCCTCGTTGAGTGTGGCATTTTGCCTATTTTGAATTGTCACCAATCATTATCGGTTATTAATCGTTTTAATCACTAACAATCGGTTATTAATGATTTATTAGTGGATAAACCGATAAGGGAGTTTGAGCTTTCTTAAAAGTCTCACATTCTCCTTCCATATTAGCGATGTGATTTACGGTTAAATCGTTAACAACATAACCATTTATAACTGCTAATCATCCATATGATTCAACTTGTATATATATATATATATTCATTCCCGCTCTTTCGGGAATTCATCCTTGCATTCTAGAAATGCCACTTTAAACCGAATTGTTTGTTTGTATGTTCATTTTCAATTTAAGTTAACACAACAAACCTCTCATTCAATCTCAGATTATAGTGTATATCAAGAACAATATGTGGACAGTCCGGGGGAAGGAACTGGTTAGAATGGTGATATTTGTTGGGACCAAAAAGGGCAGATTGGGCAGAGCTGCTTAACTGGATGACAATGCATCGCGTTATTTCATTGACATGCGTGAAAAACAATACTATGAGCTCATCAAAATTCAAATAAAATAATGAGAAAAAGATGGAAGGATATTATTATGTGTTATAGAAGGGAAAGGGATACCCTGGCCGCACTACTTACGTGCATTCGAAACAAACAGCCATAATCAACGACAAAACCATAGTGCTAACGACTAACCTCATCATTATTATTATCATTATCATTATTATCTTAAAATAATAATGATAATCACGAGTAGTTGTGCCAAAAACATTCCCCCTTCCAACCACTCCCCAGCCAGGCCTTGCCAACAACAACTATTGCACATATATATATATATGTAGTTGCTTATATCTAATCTAATCTAGGAATGTGTTTGCTAGCTTGCTTCTCCCTCCCTCGGTCCTCATGAACCACGAGTGCACTAGAGAAGAATTAGATATGTATTTAGAGGAATTTTACAATGCTATATAGTATTGGTGCTATAGGTTTTACCTTTATGGTACAACTTTAAATTGTACCTTTAATGTTATGGTACAAGTTCAGATTGTACCTATACTTTTTGTACAAATTCTTTTATGGTACAACTTAAACTTGTAGCTTATGTGATGGTACAACTTCAAGTTGTAAAGTTGTACCATAACATAATGATACAAATTCCTTTATGTTACAACCTAAATTTGTACATTTAATGTTATGGTACAACTTCAAGTTGTACATTAAAGCACCAATACTATATAGCATAGTAGAATTGCTCATGTGTTTAAGGATTGTAAAATAGTAACGGGAATTGTATTTGAAAGTCAGTGATACGATATTTTCAAGCGAAATTATGATTTAATTGAAGTTCGACTGTTGTATAATACTAAAAAAGTGCCTATCAATTTAAATTACAACAATACAATACGATTGGATATGTGTCTGAGAGCCGAGACGATGAATATGGCTTCTCGTTGACCCTTGGATATTTTAATTTTCTTTCAAATACAATCTCAGCTAAAACTAGACCAGGGAAAGGAGGAAGAGACCCCACCGGTGGCAAAGAATAATCAATGAGGAGAGGGAAGGGGTGAGGTCGGCTGGGCTCGGGGTGCGATGATTTGAGAGGCGCGCGTTTGGAGAAAGCGTGGAGGCAGCCTCCTTCCCATGCCGTTTGTCAGTCGCCGTGTCGTGACGTATTAGTCACCAGAGCGCGTGGGGGGCACGTATGTATGTAGCGTTGTTTCTTTCTCTTCCTCTTTTCACTGTAGTAGTTGTTGTTGTTGGTAGGACCGCACTCCTAGGTCACCTGGCATCATCCCCCGCCCAATCTCACGTCATATAACCCTAGCTCACGTCCGTTACTCTTCTTTTCTTTGGTAGTAACACCGGAACGGAACGGAACGGGACTCGGGAGGGACGGAGACGGAATACTAACCAAGCCACTATACGGCGGATCACCGGCCCTCCGAGTATCAGCCATTTTAATTTATTGCTTTTGGAAGTTAATAATAATTTAGCCTCTAATAATTTTTTTATTTTATGGGAGCCTCTAATAATAATTGACCTAGCGGCAAGCAGCTATGTTCTTCTTTTTAACCTTAACTACTATAATTATTGGGGTTTCAGAAACAAAAACCAAAAAAAAAAAAACCTAAATTATAACAATGCAGGCTTAGAGGTGGCAAATGGATTGGATTGGTGGATCCATGGATCAAATGGATTGGTGGATTCATGGATTGGATCAAGTGGATTGGTGGATTATCCATGAATCCAAATGACACCCTCAACCAAGGACCAATATGTAAAATGTAAAAAGTTTATGTACTAAAATGTCATAATGAAAAATTTTAGGTACCAAAACGTAATTTTCCAATGATATTTTTCGTATAAAAAATTAAATTTTAGGTACCAAAATGTAAAAAATAAAAATTGTAGGTACTAAACCGTAATTTGCCAATGATCCGTGGATCCAATCCATGAATCCACCAATCCAATTGGATTTGGATCAAATGGATTGGATTTAAATAGATTGGATTAGGTGGATATTTTTGATGGATTGATGGATTGGATTGGTGGATTTGATTGAAATTGCCACCTCTATGCAGGCTTAGTGAGAGATTAGGGTGGGGGTGATATTTTCCATTGTGTGGAGAGGGACGTTTGGGAGGAAACGTGGCAGGCAGAGAGAGAGCGTGATGAATTAATATAAAGATTGAATGCAACTTGGTAAACGTAGCCTAATGTGCAGGCAAACAAGGACCGGGCGGGTTTAATCATTATTTGGAGTTCAATGTAGCGTATATCCCAACCACAGAGCTAAGACTATATATATATATATATATATATATTCGCCACACACGCTATGCTATAATGAAGAATAAAATGCCACGTAATTAACACTCCTAATTAGCGGTCAAAACCAACATTAATCACTACCATGATGCTGCTCAATTTATTCACCGCATGGTCATGGTGAAGTGAAGAAGGACTTGTGGAAGCAAATGAATCAACCCTTGATGGGACTGACTAGGTGCAGAGTTGGATATATAAGTACAACAGTGTTAATTATTCACTTTGTTATGTTACAGCTATCTTTTTTAATTTGTGCACTAGTCCAGCTGTCCACATAATATACCAAGAGGGTTTTATTTTATCCATCATGTGGTGGCCAGGCCACAGTGTACTATACGTAGTAATAGCTTAGCTAGCCACTCCATTATTGGTGGTCACCTTACATTAGTTCTTTTGGCACCTATTTAATTACCTCGTTAATCGCCCGATGTTCGAATTAATCCAAAACAGCTAATTAGTGTAATTGGACAATGAAAGTAATAATACGATATCTCCTCTCAGAGAGAAATGAGCAGTGCAATTGCAATATATAGCACATGCATGAATGGTCTGGATGCCGTACCAGGGGTTTACATTAAAAAGGAAAAGAAAATTTCCATACGAATTATGCGGTCAAATACAGTTCATTGCATTTATACGAATTAGTTTTTGACTGCCTCATTCATTTTCGAAAATTCCTAGTGTAAGTTTGGTACGTTTGACTTGTGAGATTCCATTGTGACCCAAAAGATATTAGTAGAGCAGGTTGTCAGGGGCAGTTCGGAGTTCTGAGTCTCAACTGAACCCGTTGGGTTTACTCGAGACTGAGTCCAGCTGGTTGGCTTGGTTAATTAGTCAGATCAAGCACATGAATGTCGTGGTTTTTTGACCCGAATCATAGGTTAATACCACAACAATATATAATAAGAAGAGTAGATTTTTTTTATGAGGAGCTACCTGCATCGTATTTAATTAAATATTTTATATATTAAATCGTCATAAACATCACCCCCTCCAACTTCACCAGCTGCCAAAATTTTCAGTTGGACGGCGTGGGACAGCATTAATAACTTGCAAAAGGACGTAAATGACCCTCTCCCACGGATTACCTTTTGGTCATTTCACACCGTCCCTCAGCCTACACTTATTGCATGCGAAATGTGCGTTTGGATAACAAAGCGCCTAGTGGCGCACTTGGAGCTCTTGTCCTCTGCCGCCGTATTTCTAATAACCTCCCACCCCCCTCCTTATTTATCCTCCACCCCATCATCACACCGCCTCCCACGCGCACCCCTCGGCCACTCCAGTAGGGATGGCAATGGGTCGGGTTGAGGCGGGTTTTGTCAAACCCAAACCTATGGGTTTATCCGTCAAAAAAAACCCGGGGTAAAACATGTTGGGTTCGAAAAACTCAAACCCAACCCAACCCGCTGGGTATCCGCGGGTTCATGGGTACCCGTGGGTTTTTGTGGTAAAAAATTTACAATAACAAGTTTCTTTCAAAATAAAAGTTTAACATTAATTTTCTCATACAAATTATTCATACAAAAAACACCAATCTAGATCATACAAGCAAACCGCTAATGATCAATACAAATTGTTCAAAATTAAAGAAAAACATCTATAAACAATAAGATTAATTGAAAGATTCTTACTCGTCAACAAAGTTTCTTCACTCTCCACTTCATAATATCAACTTCATTCTAAACAATTAGAAACAACAAATTATATATGTCTCCACAAACATAAAGAATATTAATTGTTTAAGAAAGATATATTATTTAGAGTATTAAATATACCGGAAAAGTAATTATATGTGTGTGGGCGGGTACCCATGGGGCGGGTTTACCTAAACCCAAACCCAACCCGATGAATAGTGTAGCGGGTTTAAACCCGAACCCGACCCAAAACCCGTCAACACGGGTTTTACCCGTGTTGACCGGGTTGGGTCGGGTGGGTACCCGTGGGTTCGGGTTTTGTTGCCATCCCTACCCTAGGGATGGCAATGGGTCGGGTTGGGGCGGGTTTTGTCAAACCCAAACCCAAACCCATGGGTTTATCCGCCAAAAAAACCCGGGGTAAAACCCGCTGGCTTTGAAAAACTCAAACCCAACCCAACCCGCTGGGTATCCGCGGGTTCATGGGTACCCGTGGGTTTTTGTGTAAAAAATTTACAATAACAAGTTTCTTTCAAAATAAAAGTTTAACATAAATTTTCTCATACAAATTATTCATACAAAAAACACCAATCTAGAGCATACAAGCAAACCGCAAATGATCAATACAAATTGTTCAAAAGTAAAGATAAACATCTATAAACAATAAGATTAATTGAAAGTTTCTTCCTCGTCAACTAAGTTTCTTCACTCTCCACTTCATAATATCAACTTCATTCTAAACAATTAGAAACAACAAATTATATATGTCTCCACAAACATAAAGAATATTAATTGTTTAAGAAAGATATATTATTTAGAGTATTAAATATACCGGAAAAGTAATTATATGTGTGTGGGCGGGTACCCATGAGACGGATTTACCTAAACCCAAACCCAACCCGACCCGATGAAAAGTAATTATATGTGTGTGGGCGAGTACCCGTGTTGACAGGGTTGGGTCGGGTGGGTACCCGTGGGTTCGGGTTTTGTTGCCATCCCTATCCTACCCTCACCCCAAACTCGCTCCCGTCCCGCTGCGATAAGGGAGCGAGTGACTGACGCGCGCGTTTGGAAACCATTTATCAAAATTTGGGGGAAAATAAAGGACCGAAACGGAAACGCGAAGTCGGAGAGGGGTAAGTAGGGGAAAAGAAAGAGAGGAGGGGTGGAGAGCTCGCCGTGTCTTGAAGTATCATCGTGCATGCATATTTTAAGATTAGTACCAACCAAACACCCTCTCTTCCCCTTCTCTCTTCTCTTTCTCTCTCTCTGTCTTTTCCTCCTCTCTTCTTTCCTCTTGCCTTCTTCTCTCTTTCGTTTCTCTGCCAAGCCGTTACTCTGCATGCACATGTTGTCTTCTCCCAACTCGATCGCCGATTCCTCTCCCCTGCCAGCCTTTCTCTCCTGATCTCGCCCCCTGACCACCTTCGATTCCTCGCCTATTCGCCGCCATTGGACCTCGAACTATCTCCAGGTCGTATATCCAAATCGGCTCTGCGGAAATCGCAACCACGCCGCCTCCCTTGCGAGAGTACAGCTGAAAGTAGCTAGCGGTTTTGCCTATTGGGAACGGAGAAGGTCGGTCGGCGTCAGTTATTTGATTTTTTCTTTTTACTCTTTAGTATTTTTTTTGGTCTTAGTGCTCGTTTGACCTCTGTAGATTTGGAGTTGAATCGATTTGTGTGGAGTGTGATTTTATTAGGGATTTTGTTTCTTGGTCTCTCTTTGTTTGCTCTCAGTAAGATTTGAATTTGAATTTGTTGGTCGTGGAACTTCTTCCAGCCAAGAATAGATTCAAACATGGCGTCCAAGGCGTGCATGAATGCATTATGCGGCGCATCCACGTCGAGCCATTGGAGAAAAGGTTGGGGGCTGCGATCTGGTGAATTCGCCAATCTCTGCGATAAGTGCGGGTATAATTTCTGCGTCTTACCTTCTCCTTCGCTTATTATATTCTGCAATGGGGGCAAAGTAAACGACCTAATTTGTAGCGGTACTGGCATGGAATTCGATTTGCGTTATTCACTCATTGGGATTCCTCTGTATACTCTGGTTTGAGATTCTTCGTCATCGCACCGTCCATTCTTCTTTTTTTTCTTCATTCTGTTCGATTTTTTGAACGGTTATGGATTTTCCCCCTTTCTCTTCTTCTATTTTTGGTGCTTCGTTGTGGAGTGTTTCATTGTGGCATTATTATTTTGGGTCGTCCTTCGGCCTATACGATTCAATTCCCTTTGATTTCATCGAGAAATTAGGCTTCGGCGAAGAATTCGTGCCCAACTACTAAGTGCCTTAAAGTGGTTGGATCCAACTGGACAATCTAGTTTTCTCGTGATGACCCCCGCTTCTCAAGGTTCCATTCCCTTACTGTATTGCCTCTCATGTCCAACACTTAATGCTAGCTTGGCAATGCTAATATCATAGCCAAAGGCACATTGGCTCCGCCGGTAAATTATTATTCCCAATCGTGGACGTATGCTGAATGCTTACTGTAGCTAGCTGTGGGAGAGCAGGATATATACATTCAAATTCAAGTATCTCTGTTGATATGGGTTCATCCTACCAATAGGTTGGCATACGAGCAGACAATCTTTTGTGAAGTATTTCATGCTAAGGATTCTGGCTGGAGGGAATGCACTTCATGTGGCAAGGTGAGCCTATGGACGCAGAATCAATGATCATCAAGTGTGTATGTTTCTCCAGTTTGCAAGGATCGTGGGTTCGGTTTTGATTTCTTATCCCCATTTTCTTGGAATTTCAATTTGCAGCGTCTCCACTGTGGGTGTGTTGCTTCCAGGCTTCTGCTTGAGCTCCTAGATGGGGGTGGCATTAACTGCATAAACTGTTCTAGAGCTTCAGGAGTGAATCATGTAAGATTTGTTCTGCTAACGATATATTGCTAAATATGCATGTGTATATTTAGATATGCTAATTTTTTATTGTCTGAGCTTCTGTATTTGTATTGGCATTATATGTTAGCCGGTGCTTTTGTCTCTGAATTTTTAGATCTTAGGATAGCTTCAGTCCAAATATATGTGTTTGTCCATACACTAGCACACCAGACGTTCTGAATAAACTTTAGGGACTGAATTGGTTGTCACTCCACACAAGTTCTTGATGTTTCTATAGATATATAGGCTACCTTCATGTCCACAGATAGGAAGTTTGATGTAGTGTGATCCTATTTCTGTAGTATGGTTGGAGCTGGGTCTCCTTTGATTAAACATCCACTGAAGTCTTTCTTTAACAATTCATGTTGGTTGTTTCTTTGTGTCTTAGGATGCTAAAGCAGCAATTTCTTTCATCCTGCTTAGTTGATTGGTCTATATACATGCTTATTAGACACTTTCCACCCTAGTATCAGATCTCTGGCTTGGTTAAGCTTCTGGATTCTTGCAATTCTTTGTAACCTCAAAGCTATTTACGCAGGTTGGGGCTGACAAAAGACCTAATGGGTTTTCCAAATCAAGAATTGATGACATTGGGGAACTACAATCTCTCTCAGCTGAGAATGGGGTGGACGTTGAAAGAAAGCTCTTGCACTTAGGCAGTAACACTGAAAGTATTGGCGCAAGACATTTGCTTCAGTTGCACGGCGAGGACACCAATGGTTCTTATAGACAAATGAAACCGGAAGCTCTTGTCCCTCATATGGGTGAAATGGGAAGCACAAGCTTCTCACATTTTAACCAAGCATCCAACGCATTTTCTCAAGCTAGCAATGCAGAGATTGGTAAAGCAAGCATTGGGGCAAAGGATTTGTATGAGTCACTAACACATACAAACTTGAGTATTGCACTTGGTTCTCCAATGGGGAATCCAAATCCCTTTGCAACTGTTGTTGATGAAAGGTCTCAAAGTAAGACACCTCCACTTCAGGCGTCAAGGTCTCGCCATCTATTACCCAAGCCTCCGAAGTCAAATCTTGTTACAGGTTTGGAGCCGAATGCTATGTCTTCACCAATACGTGTTGCTCGACCACCTGCTGAAGGACGGGGAAGAAATCAGTTGCTACCTCGTTATTGGCCTAGGATCACTGACCAAGAACTTCAGCAAATCTCCATGGAGTATCCTTACTAAGTGTAGTATGACTATTATTTCTTTGCTCACTAACAACACATATTTTAGGCGGAAACTCTTAGCATACATTGGCTTTTTGCGAAACTTATCTGCTGACTTGTTTGTTGATGTCCTTAACCATTTCAAGTTCGAATTCCACCATCGTTCCTCTGTTTGAAAAGGTTCTCAGTGCAAGTGATGCTGGTCGTATAGGCCGTTTAGTTCTCCCTAAGGCTTGTGCTGAAGTAAGCTCATCATGTTCTAGTCGTACCCATTTGGATATACCTTCTTATCTTGGAATTGTTTCTCATGTTTTATGGCAGCTAATAGTTCAATTTCAACCATTATCCAGGCATATTTTCCACCTATCTCTCAACCAGAGGGCATTCCGCTTAGGATTCAAGATGTGAAGGGGAAAGAGTGGGTGTTTCAGTTCAGATTTTGGCCGAATAATAATAGCAGGATGTATGTTTTGGAAGGTGTAACCCCTTGCATACAGTCCATGCAGTTGCAAGCTGGAGATACCGGTATATTTTTAAGCCCTGGTCCCTACTCGAAGTTGTGCTAAAATTCCGTTCCAATGTATGAAGATTTACTTACTTTCCTTATGAATTTCTTGTTTAAGCTTGTGCATTGGGGTCCTCTTTCCAATAGACAGTTTACTGCATCTGCAACCCTCGCAAGAATAATTTTCAGTAACGCATTGTTTGAAAAGGATGTCCCAGTGTCTTAGCTGCAGTTTAGACTATTTCAGACTTGTTCTAGTTGTTTTTTCTGTTAAGTGGATGTATATGTATATTAGGTTTGCGTTTCTGGAAACTTTGTAATGATCTTTTCATGTTGCAGTAACATTCAGCCGCATGGATCCAGAGGGGAAACTTGTTATGGGATTTAGGAAAGCATCAAATTCAATCGCAATGCAGGTAAGAAGTCAACTGTAGTTTTGATGTCAGCTGACTTTTCTCGCGTAATATTTATATATATATAAATATGAAATAAACAGGACATTCAACCATCTGCCATTCCTAATGGTGTTCATTCAAGTGAAAGTTGCTTTTCCGGTGTTTATGAGAACCTACGTGTAACAAGTGGTTACTGTGGCATTCTTCAGTCTCTGAAGGGAAGCAATGATGCGCACTTAAGTGCACTGTCAAAACATTTGCAGTCAACTAGTGGTGATATTAGTTGGCATAAATCTGAGAAGCTGGAGGACAGGACTCAGGAAGGGTTGATGCTGCCATCAATACTGATCCCCGAGAGAAAAAGAGCAAGGAATCTTGGATCCAAAAGTAAAAGGCTACTTATGGACAACCAAGATGCTTTGGAGCTGAAGCTCACCTGGGAAGAAGCCCAAGATTTGCTCCGCCCACCGCCAACTGCTAAACCAAACATTGTCACTATTGAGGATCATGATTTTGAAGAATATGAAGTGAGTAACTAACTTGGCAATTACGTTTCATGTGTATGTGGCTATGTGCTCATTTGTTGCATTTACCTGTGAGATCCATCATCCATTGTACATAAATAGCACAAGCCAGATCTGTTGATTCTGACTCCAGAAATTTCCGAAGGATTTTTCATATTAAATTGAGTGCTTTTTGCTGCCCATATGCAGGGCAAACTTTTTTAGCAGTAACTAGAAGCTGTTTGTCTTTTCGCTTAAGAAAGATTTGGTTTTCTAACAGAGTTTGTTTCCTTGTAGGAGCCTCCTGTTTTCGGGAAGAGAAGTATATTTGTTGCCCGCTCAACCGGGTATGTGAATTGATAGTGCGTGATTACTCTTTTCCTGCTGTTGATTAGTAAACTTGTAGCCAGAAAGGTTATGGACTCATCTATTGGGACAATAAATGATCAACCTGCAATTAACCTCCGCATAGTTACTTTATAAATTCCCATCTTACCCTTACTTGACAAGTCATGCAGGCAAATTTCAATAAGTAGAGAATTTTCTTTATACCTTTTCCGTTTATTACGTGGATGGAATATACTGGGATTAGATGGATAGTTACTTACCATGGGAGCATCACTTAAGATAATCTCTAGTGCCCTAGGCTCGTATGTTTCCTCCATTAAAAAACAATTTCTTCTGATCTACAATTTCTGAGTTTTACATGGATCTGTATTTCCTTTGAATCACTCACCAGAATACAAGAGCAATGGGCTCAGTGTGATAGCTGTTTCAAGTGGAGAAAGTTGCCAGTTGATGTGCTTCTTCCACCGAAGTGGACATGCAGAGAAAACGATTGGGATCAAAGCAGGTCAGTAAACCACCATGTCTTCTATTTACAATATCATTTGCTTGAGATTTCACCTGCAACCGAATTTCATGGCATTATTCTGATATTGATGTTTGATCTTATCCTCATCAGGTCTTCGTGTTCTGCTCCAGATGAATTATCCCCAAGGGAATTAGAAAATCTACTCACAAATAATAAGGGTACATTATATGATGTCGGCAAATATTCCTTTCACCATTTCCCCTTCCCTTCCCCCACCTGAGCCGTGGGTGGATTGGGGCATTCTATCATCAGTTTGGTCCCAATCCATCGAATTGCTTGTGCATAAATCATGAAATGCATATTTATGAGTATCAATGAGATACCGCATCTGTTGAAGAGTTTGGATGACTTTCAAAAGAGAAAAATAGTAGTGCTGTGTCCACCTTTTTGTATTGGTTGGTTAGCCTTTGTAATAGTATAAGCAGTTCTAGCAGGTGAAACTCCGTGCATAAACGTTTGTGTCTACTGAGGCTGCCTTGTGTTAAACTCGATTATGTTGGTTCTTCTGTGAATATATCTGCTTTTATTTTCTTAAATAAAAGTCAACGTGCGTTCTGACTTATGCACCTTAGCGATACTCTAGTCTGCTATAGCCTGACATTGCATGCCTTACAATTTCTTAAGCAGATTTCAAGAAACGGAGACTGTCAAGCAGCCAGGGAGGGGCGCAGGAACCTGAGTCTTCTGGGCTTGACGCTCTGGCCAATGCTGCAATCCTGGGAGACATTGGTGGTGAGCAAGGCACGGCTACAGTTGCAACAACAACCAAGCACCCCCGGCATCGCCCGGGCTGCTCTTGCATCGTTTGCATCCAGCCCCCTAGCGGGAAAGGCAAGCACAAGCCCACTTGCACATGCAACGTATGCATGACAGTCAAACGTCGATTCAAGACCCTAATGATGCGAAAGAAGAAGCGCCAATCCGAACGCGAAGCAGAGATGGCTCAGCGAAATCAGTTGCAGCAGCAGTGGGGTTTGCACAAAGATGAGGCAGAGGCAGAAAGCAGCTCCAAGGCCGCTTCTACTTCACAGATGGATCATCAACATTCAGAGAATGTAGCGGCGAGAATGGCGATTGAGTTGACTCAAAACAAGTTGGCTGAGAAACTGCCGGCAGTTGAGAATGGAAAGGGACAGATAGACTTGAACTGCCATCCTGAACGCGAAGAAGATTCCCAACAACCGACAATGCTGAACCTCATTCAAGTAGCGACCCTTCCATTGGAATCCTATCTGAAGCAGAATGGATTGGCGAGCTTGGCGACTGAGCAAGAAGGAAGTTCGACGTCTCATGTGCCGGCTGCTCCAGGTGGCAGCGGCGACAGTGAAGAGCAACAAATTCCAGAGGAGGATCGCCAGCTGGATTCAGCTGCTCATGAGCAAGAGGCCGAGGGAGAAGTAAACAACCACCAACCTGATGGCACAGAAGATAACCAGAAAGAGCCTGCTTGACCAACGGGTCCCCAGTGGCGAGTTTCCTCTCGATTCACAGAAATATTTTTTTGTGCTGCCCTTTTCTTTTGTTGTTGTATATTTAATAAGTAAGAACAGTTTCTGTTCCTACTATCTAATACGCGACAGTTCCGCGTCTTGCTATTTTCTTTCCTGAGAGCTTTTCAGTGTGCAATGTCTTTATTCGTTGTATAATGTCTATAATACATATAATGGGGTTTCTTTAATTCCGGCTTTTGCTCCCCTCGGTGGGGTGAGGGATTTCTGATGTATACTATCTGAGGCGTTAATTCCTCTTCCTTGGCTTGACAGTGTGCCAAACTTAGCAGCTTGTTGTAGAAATAGAGGATTTCTGAGATGCAGTTTTGGTCTTCAGTCTGTCATGATATCACCATATACTATTTACTTCCTCTGCTTGCCCGGAATAACAACACACAAGTTTTGGTTCTGGCTAGCTCCAGGGACATTCAAATGGCCGAAAAGTGTTCGATATCTCATCTTTTCTTGTTGGAGGGGCAACAGGCTTAAGACGAGTGAAAACCGTTTCGCTAAGGTAAGAGTTTAGTCCAGTACCATTTGAGTGAGAACTTGGTTTCAGTTCCAAAGCTGAATTAACTGATGAACTTGAATTATAGTTAGAGGAAGTAATGCCCCATGTTCCTATTACGGGCTTCCAAGTTCCATCCCCACTAGCAAGTGATTCAAATGGCATAAAAGTTTCCATCTGTTTACCTCTTAGTCTTTTGTTCCAGTGCCATTTGAGTTTTCAGATGAATTTTTCTGTAGCCAGTCACTCCCCAGAAATAACCAAACTAAATAGCCACTATAGATTGCATTACTAACATCCATCCACAAGTCAATCGGCGCTGTTTCTTATCTACAGAATAGGAGGGAGCTAGCTTACAGTAGTAGCAGCCACCCTTTCTATTTCTTCACCACCATTTCAAATAACGTGAAGGTGGGAATAACCACATCACATCGAGACCTTTCCTTAAGTCCTCTAACATTCTCTGTTGAATCATTCAGAAGGATTTAGGACCAAAGAGACAACGAGCCGAACCCAACCGCCCCCCCTCCCCCACACATAATATTAACAAATCAGAACCCCTCTACACTAGCTCGCCGAACAGTAGAACTCGATGATCTCCGACTTTCAACACGTTCCAGCTCGTCCAATGAAACGGTTGACGAGCAAGCTCGTGGAGGGAGTGACCCCGAAAACGCTGAAACCCTAGTTGGAGAAGCAGCAAGATGAGGATGATGAGCTCCCGACGGTGGTGGCGAGAGTGAGAAACTCAACCTTGTTGGAGCTGGGGTGGCAATGATTGTATTGAAACTCGGAGATTTCAACATCGGCTTTCGATTAGGAACCGTATCCGGTTCTTGAAGTGGGAAGCGGCACGAGTATTTCATGTCCTGTATCGCCCTCATGTTTTCCACGACAGTTCTCATTGTTGGCCTTTCGAGTGGATCCTTCTGAAGGCATCTCAAGGCAATGCCTGCTACAGTTCTTGCTCCTTTCATGGGGTACCTCTGCTTTAGCTGAGGATCCATAATCATGGATAGCCTACAATCGTCAGATAAGAAAGGTCTGCTCCACTTGACTAAGTTCCTTTCTTCCCTTGGGTGTCGGCTGTCGAGATTCTTCCGTCCGGTGAGTAGTTCGAGAAGAATGATACCAAAGCTCCACACATTGCTCTTCGGAGTTAGCAGACCCCTTTCGAGTGTCTCCACCGAGAGGTTTCCCACAGCCTGCATCAAATTGAGATAGAAATGGCAAGTACTTTATCAACATAGAGCTAGCAAAGGAACTGGAACCAACTAAAGAAACACTAGCAGCATAAGCTTAGTAGCTTACCACTGAACTACTTGGGATTTCTGTGTCAGGAAGCTGACCAACGCAACCATAGCCAGAGAGCTTCGCACTAAAATCTTTGTCAATCTGTATGTTGGCAGCAGAGAATTCGTTGTACATTGCCTGCCATGTTCAAATAAAAGCACCATTGTTATGGTCATTGCAATCACCAACCATGAAGAATCTCATACTAGAGAAAAGGCGTGACTGCGATTCGATATTCCCAGCAAGACTAGGAGGTCATTGGAATGGTTGATCATTGAAATGAGTGGATTGTAAAAATAACTGGGTTGGATGAATATCTCCTAATGTGCCAACCTTCTCCCTTAATTCCGATGATAATCCATGCCTTACTAGATTGTAGCACATAATCTATAATCCGAACGATCCTAGACCATAACATGACTATACGCATAGCATTGCATAGCTTCCTATCCTTTTTTGTGCATTACAATTAATCCTACTAGCAGATAAACTAGTACCTGAAAAGGACCTTGCATAGCTTCCTATCCTTTTTTGTAGCACATAATCCATAATCCGAACGATCCTAGACCATAACATGACTATACGCATAGCATTGCATAGCTTCCTATCCTTTTTTGTGCATTACAATTAATCCTACTAGCAGATAAACTAGTACCTGAAAAGGACCTTCTTCATGAAGGAAAGTTAGAGCTTGTGCAGCACAGAGAGCAATTTTCATCCTAGCATTCCAATCAATTGGTGGGCCATCAGATCTTCCATACAAAATCCTGTCCAAGCTTCCATGGTGTAGCCTCTCATACACCAACATTCTCTGTTCTGATCCATCGCGTGCATGGTAACCGAGCAATTTACACAGGTTGGGATGCCTCAAGGTTGCAAGGGTGTTTGCCTCACCTATAAATTCCTTCACACCCTGAAAGGTGATAGAGCAGTGAGATGATGCTGCTTGTTTCTTCTATACACATATTCAAACTTGCACATATTCTTAACTTACCTGTGGGGAGGACTGAAGACGAGTAACAGTAGCTTCAAACCTCTTTGAACTTGATACATCACTACCAAAGGAAGCCCGGTATATGATAGAAGAAAGACCTTCCGACACACATTGATCCGACGAGAAATTGCAGCAAGCTGATGCAACTTCATCAAACGAAAAGCTCTTCAATGAGCCACTGTGAGTTCCACTGGGAGGCAGAGGCAGAGGTCCACAGGATGAGAGAGGTCCACTGCCATTTATTAATTTGAAGCTATTGGTGGGTTTTAAGGACCCAGAATAATGAGGCGAAGGTAGAGGAAGAGGCTGTGGGCTTGGGGATCGATGTTCCCTTGTCATTAAGCCTCCACATCGGCTCTTCGATTCTTCATGTTCATCATATTCAGCTGATATAAGTGCATCCTGTTCTGCTGCATCAAGACTTTCTGGAGCAGACAAAGCACGGGCCCTATTGTTGGTTGGTTTGTGGTCAGATTGAACTGGCTTAACACGGGTCCTAAAGCTGGGAGGTGCAGACTGCAAGGATCGGATCGGGAGTTTGGGCTCTGGCAGTGTTGTTGGTGACGCTGTTTGGTCTTTGGGATTAACAGGTTTGATAGCAACTCTAGATTCAGCCCTTTTCTTCTTGTTCCTTAAAACTGTGAAGCACCCCATTCTAGTCTCTGGCTGCTGAAAGAGGATTTTTGGTGTTCTGTAGTAAAAACACAGCACAAACAAATGTCATCGCCACAGTCAATCAGCACAAAGAAATGAATGAATGAATTGGGAGCATTGTTAGCTGAAGTCTGAAGAGGATTATGATGAGCATCATAAGATCATTCGGGCACCCCTAACCAATCAACTATTGAACTTTTCGTTCCTATAACAGCAGATACTAGACTAAGAATTACAAGAACAAGAACATATATTACCCCTATCAAACCCCATGTAGAATTTGGAGAGCAGCTATTTAGACTGAGAGTTTACATAAAACTTAATCAACCGAAGTATGCCCATTATCAAAATTGCAGAAATTCATAGAGTCAGGTAATAATAATACAAATTATAAAACATTTCTGCAGCACTAAATGGTAACTGCAGAATTTGTCATGAAGTTATGAGTTAATTCGTCAGTACCTGAAATTAAAAAGGGGCATCAATTGAAAGAGGGAGAGGGGACAGAATTGGTACAAAGTGGTAAATCAACAGGATGAACATTCATGGAGGAAGAAGGCAGAAATGAAATCAGCAGCTCAGTTGAAATTCCCCAGATCCAAAACCCCGGTCTAATTCGAAACCGAGAAAGAGTGGAATATATATAATAGTAACAAATAAAACGAACTGGAGGGGATGAGATAACCCATTAACCTATAAGAAAAACTATGCCCCCCACCTCGATTAAATCAGAGTCAGTTTCGTTCCATTTATTTCAAACTACAGCTTTCAATACCTAAAGAACCAACAGAAAACCCAAATCACCATAGCCAGAAAAAACAAACAGAAGGGGGGTCAAGTGGTTAAAAAATGTACAGCAAAAAAGAAGAAAAAAAAACCCCGCACACCTCTCGCCACCAAAGAAAATGGGTAGCAAACAAACTCGATAAACTCCGATGGAGAAAATTGAGGTCGTCCAGTTAATCGCAGAGAGATCAGGATGAAGCCACCCAACCTAATCAAGTGACCAGATGATATGAAAAGAAAACTAAAAACCAGCACAGAAACGGAATTACCTGAAGAAACAGAGTCATGCAAGTTGCAGCTGAACAATCAGAAAGAAGGGAAGTTGGGGGTTCGGGATTTGATTGCTTGATTTTGCAGTGCGTGTATCCAAAGGGGGGAAGAACCAAAGACCCACCGGAAATTCCACAACTGGGAAAGTTGAATTCAAAATTCTTTGTTAAGGAAACAAATCCACAGCGATAAATGGAGAGAAGGAAGTGTGTTGGAAAGAAATTTGGAGGAAAAAGAGGAGAGGAGAAGAAGAGAAGACAGAAAAAAAGGAAAAGTAAACAGCAGCAGCAGCAGCAGAAAGAGATTAGTAGAGGAATAATTATTATTAAAAAAATGGAAAGGTAGGAAAATTTTGGGATGGGAAGGAAGAAAGAAACGCCTTCGCAATCAACTCCAGCACTGGTCATTGGTCAAACCTACCGGATACCTCCCCAATGATTTTCCCTTTTTCCCATTTACCAAAAAGATAAAAAAAAGTAAATAACGTTTTTTGGTTAAATATTAATTGTTATCTAACTGGAAATGTTGATACCGGATTGTGATTAGCTATCGGTTTTGTTTTTAATACAAGTGATTAGCTATGGGTTAGTGTAGGAGTCCAATGTAAGGAGGGAGGGGCATTATGGTAAAACATCGCCTGGTGTCGTCATCCATATTCAACGAAATGCACCTCGTTTGAAGTGACAGCTCAGTCAAACGCTCTCGCCTTAAATATTACCAATTTTTATTATTCATTATTATAGTTGGATTTTCGACATTTTTTATTTTATTTTAGCTGCTGCCGCTTTTTTGGGTGGGTGAACTGGGAAAAATGGCATGGCGGACTCCTCGCTCTCTCTCTCTGTGCCTTTGGTTTTTATTTAACAAAAAAATTCTCCTCCAATTTAATAAATAGATGGTCAAAGACAGGTATGAAGATTGGAGTTTGACCATGATGGTATCGCGTCCCGTCAGATCTAAGGATGGGGTTCTTTCCTTTCCGAGAAGGAGGCGGGTCCCACTCTTCAACGTTGAAGCCATTTAGGGTTCTTCTAAAATTTTGCCGGGCAGGAGGCGCAGTACAATTACTACTACAACAAATCAATGGTGGCTTGTTGCGCTCATTCATGAACATGACGAGTTTTCAATTTTGATATCATCACATCCACCACCGTCCGTCGTCTTTCTTTCTTTCTTCTTCGGTGTACGTTGAACATCATCATTGACGGCCGCGCGGCGCCTTCCGCCGGCGGGGCCCCCGCTATCTAATCTCTTCTCTTCCTCCTCCTTTCCTGCCACCCGACGACGCAGCTTCTCTTGTCTTCTTACTTTCTTTCTACTCCTCCTCCTGACCCTTAATTCCATAATTTACAAATTAATTAGTGATCTGTCTTCTCTTCCTCCTCCAACTCAAGCGTTTTAAAATGATTTCGGGATAGATGGCGATGGGCTCGGCCGCGGAGGCGTCAACTGGTCAGAATAGATATACCATTTCTTAAATTAAAAAATTAAGAAAATATAATAATATATAGAGTTCATCCCCACAACCGTACAGACCAAATTGGATTTCACTTACTACCACTGCGGTGGAGCCGTAGTTATATCCGGAGTGACGACTGGCACAAATATGTCAGGCAGGTTCTGAGTGCCATGTGCGGTTGGAATCTGAGTGTTTGTTTTGCTATTAGATTATATGATATCACAAGCAAACCAAGCTCAGACGCAAAGACAGATTACTATATACAACAAATCTCATGTATTCGACCCCTCTAGATCATCATATGGAGCGCAAAGTCGAACTTCGCTAACATACAAGACACAAAAAAAGCACACACAAATTTTACGAGAAACCAAATGAGCCACCCTACTATCATCTCTATTACCAACAAACTGGAGAGTGGAGACTACTAACTACATTGAACAGAATCCAGTTGTTTCTCAAGTCTTGACACCGCCACGAATAGGGAGACATTTTGGAGTGCACGCCTCTTACACTCATGGACAAAATTTGGCACGCATAACTCTCAATCAAACAGTACAGGCATCATCATATTCATAACCAGCCGAGTTATATTACTTGTGGCCTGGGACTAGGAGGAGGAGGCAAAGACTGTCCCCGGCCCGGACCATTAACTTTCAAAAACGGTACAATTGTCAGCCCAACTCCAAGTTGTGGACTAAACTCGGAAAGTCAGCATATTGGGCTTTCCTCACTTATGGGCCCGACTAGATAATACCCAAAGAAATAAACAAATGGATCACAAGTGAAAAGCCCAGCATTTCCACGCAACCAAACCAAGGCTACTTTTAACAATTTTCTTCAACGGTGTCAGTCCAACTCCATCCAACAAACAAATGCAATGAATGATCAGACTGAGAAATGAAGTGTGCAGTGTAGGAGGAGGGACTAGAGCGTGGATTTTTAGCAGCTTACCGTTTCAACATTTGTTTAATCGTATAAATAAATAATTCACATTCTACTGGAATGGGAGCTGGACTCATCTGTACTGTAGTTTCACATTCAAGGTTGCAGAAGAAATGGGATGGAGGACAAGAATTTATGGTAATTCTTAATATCGACATAATATAATTCTGGTATCTATTGTGAATGAAGAATACCAAACTCAACTCCAGTGAGCAATCTGCAATCGTCCTTCCTTGCAGAATCAAAGCCCAATGGCCTGCCGAATCCTAGAGAAGACAACCTGAAAACAAGAAGCAAAACTTGAGAAAACATATTGTTGTCAACTACCCGAAAACACTCTTCCTTCTTCAATCAGTTCATAGCAAAGCCTGTGTTAGTACCTGGGAAAGCTGGTCTAAACTCCCAGAAGATGCAGTAAATTTCCAAGCTTCCTGAACCCTTCCTTGGCCGCCGCCATCGTCGTCGGCAGACTCCACCACATTCCGAGATGCGACTCCCCAAGCTACAACCGCCACGACCAAAACGGCCGCTAAATTTCTCCACTTGAGAATCCCAAACCGTTCCATCAACAGCAGCCAGGCGAACAGCGCGACGCACCAACCGTGGATCAAGATCCCGCTCCAACTTCTCTCTTCGATCGACCGGGACAGGGATTTCACGGATCTCACAATCGACGAGCCCAGGCCGTTGTCGTTGTCCTGTTTCGGCTTTGCCCCATCAAATAGCGTGGTACCACATTCCGGGTTCGGCAGAGATCTGGATCTCGGAATGAAGCGGCTCACCTTGTAGGGACTGGCAGTGCTGTCGATCTTGGGGGGAGAAATCGGGATCTGCTCGGGTTCAGGGATCTTGTGCTTCTTGGAGCGGTGGTGCTTGGATCTCGAAGTTGAAGGGGAAGAGGGCTTGAATCTGTGGAGTGATTTGGGGTCTTTTGAGGTAGTTGTTGGTTCGACGAAGGAATCGTAGAGCCTGGAAAGGAATGGGAATCGAGTACGGAGCTTGCTGCCCCTGGTTTCTGCTAATCTAGCTTTGAATCCGAATCGATAGCCGCCGCTGCCCTTGGCGTGAACGTTGATTTCCCATGATTTCCTCATCCGGGGGAAGTTCCAGAGTTCGATAGGTTTGAATGGAAGGGAGCAGGAGACGAGACGGAGGGAGATGAGATGAGATAACGGAAGTGTAGACTAGACTTTGGCCATTTGGGAGTTAATTCTTTTGGGGAGTTGGGGGTTGGGAGAGTAACGGGATTGTCATGGGAGGGACGTGAGACTGAGACCCTCTGACTCACTGAGTCAGGCCCATCTCACCGCCGAGTCCCCGGCACAATAAATTATTCCTGTAAAGTCCGCTCCTTTCCATTCCTTGATTCCAGTTTCCAATTGACAAAGCAGATCGCTTTTGGGCCGTTTGAACGAGAATTACCCGCTCACCTCACCTCCACTTGCTACGCCATTTTTTTTTTTTTTAAATTGCAACCCCACTTCATTCTCTCACTGAGAATTGAGGACAAGGACCGTTGGACGGATGGGTAGCTGGTTTTGTGAATTGTGATGCTCCAATTTGGGCGCGAGAAAGGGCAAACTCCAAACTCAACGACTTGAAATCAATGAAATGTCCAAAATATAGTGGCAATTTCAGTACTGCTATAATATCAAGTCCACCTTAATCATCAATTGGGTTCCCTCCATATTATAGCAGTACTGAAATTGCCACTATATTTTGGACCTCGAATGTGAGAAGATGGTATCCACTCAAAGTCGCCTTCTCTAACTACCTTTCGTGTCTCTCTTCATTCGGCCTTCATCATTTTCACGTTCTCTTCACGCACAATATAGTCAAAATCGTATTTTAAAATTTTAAAGCTTACTATTTTACATTTCTAGATCACCATAACACTTTCATAAAGAACCGCGCTTTTCCCTAAAAAATGTAGTTAAAATTTACGCTTTGGAACTTGCACTTTTACGCTTCTAAATCATCAAAGTGCTTCTAAATAGAATTACAATTTTGACTTCGTTGTTCACATGGATATTAACCAATTAACATAATTATTAAATTCAAATTATATGTTATCAAAACGAAATCAAACAATCTGATATATATAAAATGTCAAAATTATAAAATTGATATATTTATGCCGACTAGCTGGCAGCCTGATCCATTTGAGTAGTGTTTTTTATAGACATCTGAGTCAGTGGCGGAGGCAGGGCCTTTTGGCCTTGTCTCGGAACAGGGGTAAATTTCGGTGGAACAAAAATATGCCATATATATTTATATTGGTGATGGAACACAACACGTATATAGGTAGTATTAAAGTACTTTGTCATTACAACACAACTCATTACTTGTCCAAAATTGACATAAAATTAATTTATTATACAATAAACGAAATTCCAATTGCAATAAAGAACTAATCGAGTCTCTTTTCTCCTTATGCCTATTTGATCTTTCCTCAACAACCTTGAAATTGTCTAGCGACAACGACAATCCTGCTAGTTTTGATCTACCAATTACAACTGCAAGTGTAAAAAGAGCATTTTCAGCTTTGAGTTATATTTAGAACAAGTTTCCAAGTCGATTTGGTGACTAGTTTGCTAATACTTGTTTAGTAAGATACATTGAAAGAGACTTATATAATAGTGTAGACAACAAATGTTTTTGCGCTTCTTTCACTATTTGAAATTCTTTCGTAGTTGTTTCTGAAAAGTATGATAGTATAATCGGTTATTTTTAATTTATGAATGAATTATTTGGATATAATTATTTTTTATTAAATAATTTTTTTATTAAATATTTATATATTTAAGTTATGAAAAGAGGACATAGGTGGTTTGAAATGCTGCCTCCGTCACTGATTTGAGTAGTGTTTTGAATGTGAAGTTTCATTAAAAGAAGTGGTTAGTTGGTTTTTTGAACGTTAAATTGACGGGAAGGTTAGAGCTTTCCGTGTCTCAAACGATCACCGCCCATCCCTCACCCGGATAAGGGAGGAGGTCCCAGCCAGCAACCGCGGTGGTTTTGGGCCACAACCCTTAAAAGCATACTACAAAACCTTGCCTTCTTTCTTGCACTGCAATTAAGCCGAAGACGAACCCAGTTTCATGGCGCTAAAAGGACACCTATCCACCCCACTTCAGCCAATTAATTCATACGTCGCTGTTCAATTAGGTGGCAACTCTCATTCAATCCCCAAATAGCCAGGCAACTATAGATCCAGTAAAATTAGAATTGACCGAATGATGAAGAAGGAGATTAGTTACTGGTACTAGTTTGCTTCCGCCACAGCAATGCTTCCCAATTCACATTCACACGTTTGCAGCTCCCTGGAACATACAAGTGAACACAAAATTGAGTTCTGCAACCAGCAAAGCTAATTAAGCAGACACCCACTGATGCAGAACTCAATTTAGTAGCAATGGCTGAAATCTGAGACAGAAAGAAACCCCCATTTGGGAAGCAAATCTAAACTAGAAACGCTTATTACAATTATATGTTACACATCTACCAAAATTCAGCAGCTTTTACAATTAGGCCAGCAACCAGCGAGAAACGCTCTGCTCTGAGATAAAAAAGCAAGTTTTCCCGTCCACTCATTGAGGCATTTAATCAAACAGCTGGCGGATGGATAACCCTTCCAGGCCTGGACAGGCAATCAACCTCATCTTCTGTCCCCTTCCTCGACAACTACAGCAACGTTACCTTGCGGGTCACTTTCCGCGGGCCTAGGATCCGAACCCGCTTTCGGCGGCTCCCGGAGCGAATGCCGACAGTTGGGGCAGGAGGAGCGGGAGAGCAGCCATTTGTCGATGCACGACACATGGAACCCGTGATTGCACTTGGGCAGAACCCGAACTTTCTCCCCATCCATGAATTCCCCCAAACAGATCGAGCACTCCGTGACCGCAATTGCCGCGTCATCCGAGCCGTAAACGGCGACCGGGATCTGCCTCAGATCCCGCTTCTTCAGACCCGTCGCCGCCAGACGCGCCGCCGCCTGCCCCGGCGACTCCTGCACCAGGCTCCGGCTGCATCGAAACGCGCAGCGGACGATCGAGTTCAAACCCAGAGCCCCGATGAGCGCGCAGAGCAGCGCCGCCAGAATTATCACCATGTTGGCGTCGAAATTCGTCTGGCTGATGTACGGGTCGCCCCCGGTTCCATTATTCGGAGGCGGCGGGGGCGAGCTGAAGTCCGAATCCGAGAGCCGGCGGTGGAGGGCGAGGAATCGTGTCATTTTGGGGTGTGTAGAGTAACGGCCGCGGGAGATTTTTATGGGATTCTGGTAAATCTACCCGAAAAAAGGGGCAACGAGAAGAGATTGGCACTTTATCTTTTATCCAATTAAGCTTTGCTTTTTAGCCTTTCCTGGTAAACTGTCTCTCTTTTCACGGGCGAGTATGCGCTTTGTTCTGGTTTAGAGGCCGAACACTAGAAAGAGAAGGGGGAGGGAGAGAGGGAAAGAGAGAGCAATGGTGTAAAGATTCCAGCTTGGAGAAAAAGACACAGGAAAAGAAGCATCTTTAGCCAAAGGGATAAGGGGGAGAAGGGTGGGAAACAAAAACAGAGGCTCACAGTTTTCTGGAATCAGGGACCGGTTTCATCTGTGGTAGGATTCTCAGCTTCTCCATCACATATATTCTCAGCTGGTTGTGGAGGAGAATTATGGAGCAAGCCATGGCTGAGTTAGTAGTAGCGTTTGTTTATATATATGCGAAGCAGACTGCAGGGTTTGGAGTTTTCAGGAGGAGGGTGGGGTACTGAAAAGGAGACAAATGCAGGAGAGATATTTTGAAATTGTAAGAGAGAACTACTCCAACTGGTTGCATATAATATAACTCTCTGCTTACCTGCCTGCCTATTACTTCAGTCAATCATCTAAATGAACATTTGAAGTGCCTGCAAAACGCAATACCAAATCCACTCTGATTCTTCTCAAAAGTGGTTAAAGTCCTCGCGAACCTTCCACCTGTTACGTGACAATTTTTTGGGGTGGGCTTTATTCGTTCATATGATTATTTTGATAATATCCAACAATATCTTTGAATCTTATTCTCCTTTGATTGGAAATGGGTGTTACTGTTTTCCAGATTCTAGAATTTGGGATGGCAAATGCACATATTAGTCCCAAGCTGATGGGAATGGTCAAGACCTAATTAGCCACATTTATTGTTGAAGAATTTATGATCCTCGTCAAGTTAGTTAGAAAATTTTCTCTTCAGATACTAAACTAGAAAAGTTAGTGGTTTATAATTCAACAGCGAACTGTTCAACAACCAATAGCTAACCATTGATAGTTAGGATTATTAACTGTTTGAACCTAACTGAGTGTAGGAGTGAGATTCACGAGAATGGGTCGAGAAGAATGAACAACAAGGATTAGCCGAGAGCTTGGGAATTAAAGGAAGGAAAAATAGAGTTGGGAGAGTGTCTTTTAGTGAGAGAAGTTCGTTCTTTGCTTAGAGATAGAGTCTGCAAAAATCCGATCCCCTCACCCACCAGAGTAAATGCCATATTTATAAGCTACATGGTGGTGGGTGAGACACATGGTGACATGACCACTGACATGACAGAGGTCTAGACCACACCCCTACCCCTACCTAGGACAAGCACATTCACCCTCTCATCCTTAGGACTATGATGGTGACTACCTAGGACTACGATGGTGACTACTCTCCGAGGAGACACGACGCCGTTTCCATGGTTTGCTGGGCTGGTCAACGCTGGGTCTAAACGTCGTTGCTCGGTGTTCGTGGTGCGGCTTTGGACTCATCGGTGTCAAGGCGCCAGACTCCCTTGTTGGTGGCGCTGTCGCGCTTCGCCAGTGCTAGCGCGCCCGATCCTCATGTTGCTGACGCTATCGCGCTTCGCCGGTGCTAGCGCGCCCGATCCTCATGTTGGTGGCCCTGTCGCGCTTCGCCGGTGCTAACGCGCCCGACTCTCATGGCGGCGGGACCGGAGTGCTTCCTTGGCGCAGCGAGATTCGAGTCACATGCCCAACAATTGCCCCCCCCCCCATCAGGGGGTATTCCGCGAATGCCGCCTGTTTGATTTGCGCATTACCGACTCGGATCTGCGTGGTCTCCGCTAGATTTTCTGGGCTGTCGATGTTCGGCCGTAGCGCGATTGATTAGGGTTGTGCGTAACGCCTTGTTAAGACCGGGTTTTTTAGGGTGTTTTTTTTCTTTTCCGCGGGTGTGCCATGCCCCCCAAGCGATGTGCGGAGCATGTGACGTCATCGGCTAGTGCCTACGTCTGTAATAGGTGGCCACGTGCCTTCGTGTGATTGCTCGGTTTTGGCGGCCGTTTTGAAATTCGAAGTGACCCTGACGGTTACGTTTATCGATGCACCTTTAACCTTTCAGCTTCCGTTGCCGACTATAAGTAGTTTGCTGTCGGGGCCTAGAACTCATTCTCCTTCTTCGAGTTCGATTTCTTCTTTCTCTGAATCGTGTTCGTCTTCGAGATTCCTCTCCTTCTTCTACAACCTCGTTTCTTACTTTCTGTTGCAAATATTCAAAGTTTGCCATGGATAGCACCAACATCGACGAGATCGAGGTCGTGCAAGGCGAAGAAGGTAATCTCTCCTCTCCTTCGCATGTTTCTACCGATCCTTCACTGGATCTGGATGATTCCAGCAACGGGGGCGGTTATAGGGTTGATGACGATGAGTTTCCGGTGACGTCGTCGTTCGACGTCGATTCGGAACAAGGGTTCCACGACTCCTCTGATGCGGATGCGGGTGTGATAGCATCTGGGAGTAGGCAGGTTGGGACAAGTGGTCGCGGGGTGTTAATAATCCGCCGCGACCGCACTGGAGGATCTGGGGGGTCGAATCGCGAGGTGCGTAAGGGGTCTGATACACAATCGGAGCCACGCTGCATCGCGCGCATTTCGGAGGCGGTTAGCCGTTTAGGATTCCGCGGTGTAGGGGCAGCCTACACAATTATAGAATGGGCTGAGATGTGGTGCGATGAGCCGGCGCCGCGGGACAGCCTTCTGCGGGGACCTGATCACGTGTCAATCTACGGGCGGAAAGAAGTTACGGAGATTGTGCGCGGTTTGGGCTTGCCCCCCAGTTGGCAGTACGCGATTCCTTCCACGCGGAGCACAGTCGGCAATTGCCCCCCCAGGGTGGATCGGGGTGTATACAGAGTATTGGGTGATGGGGTTTAAGTTCCCCATCGACCCGTTGCTGTGCGCGATCTACAGGAGACTCAAATGCTAGGTTGGTCGCCTTTCCCCTTCAGTTATTATGCACGCGGATGCGAGTTGCCTCCCGCCGTCCTATGGGTTATTCCATAAGGTGTACAAGATCAAGGAGCCAACAAAGAAGAGTGATTGCCGCTCAATCAGGCGGCGCGACAAAAGGCCCGACGGTTTTGTATATGGGTCTCCCAAGTTGAAGAAGACTTGGTTCGAGCGCTTCTTTTATGTTAAGCCAACGCCGGGGGAGTGGGCGAGTGAGCATATGGATGAGCCGATGATTTGGAAGAAGGGTAGCACGCACGGCTACGAGTCGGACCTGGGCAAATATGACAGGCTCGACGCTGAATATGAAGTGTGCTTGAATCAGAAGTTTAACTTGTACTTGGGCGGGGTCGGCGAAGCTTGTTTGGCGGAGCTCTTTGCCGATGGTTAGTTGCGTTTCTTTCCTTATGCATTCTATCATATTAACCGCTCTCTTACGATTTATTGGCGTAGGTGTTGACTTCTCCAACCTGGTCAGCATGATGTCGGTCGACGACGTTGTGAAGGCTCTGCGCGCTGAGAAGAAGATGAAAGATTGTGCGCCATCTATGCGAGTCAAGAGAAAGGAGGTCGAGGCGCCGTAAGTTATGGAGAAGCCTCAGAAGGCGGCTCGAGTGGCTGTTCAACCTGAGCAAGAGGCTGAGCGGGCGGCATCGCGATTGCCGCTGGTGGTAGTGGAGCCTGAAGCATCGGGCGCACGAGTAGATACATCTGCTCGTCTTGAGAAGGAGGCTGGAAGTTAATCGGGCGCAACCATTCAGCAGAAGTTGCCTGAGATGGTGTCTGCCATCATTTACTTCCGCGACGTGCGACTCCACACCAGCGCGGCGTGCAACGGCGTGTCTGCCAACACTGCCCTCCGCGCGGTGGGTCCTCATCTGAATGTCCCGGCGCGGATGGAGAAATCTGATCCACTGCAGGACCTAGCGCAGATCCATTTCGCGGTAGGAATGTGCTCGAACTGTTTACGCAGTGCGCTTTATATGCCTTCTTTATTAAGTGGAATTGTTACTGAGTTTGGTAGCGTTGAATCAGGGTTTGCTGGCAACCTTCCGGGCCCAGAAGGAGCGAGCTTCGTGTATCGCAAAGCTGAAGGCGGAAGAGTCAAAGATCGTCCAACTGGAGGGTAAGCTCGCGGGAGCTCAGAATCTCGCGGAGGTGGCAACCACTAAGGCCAACGAGGCCATGGAGAAGCTCGGCGTTCTGCAGAACAAGTTGGCCTCTAATGTGGCGGCGGCAGAAGAGCGTGTGAGGGCTGAGGAGCGCGGCCTAATCCGGGAGCAGATGGAGGCCGATTATGCAGAAAAGTTGAAGCAGGCGCGCGAAGAGTTCCAGAAGGAGAAGGAGGACCTGAATCGCCTTCATAATGTTGCGAAGGCAGAAGCTGTGCGCACCGCTGAGGTCGCTGCCGTTCGTCAGTACAAATCCTTGCCCTCCTTCGGGAAGATTTTGGCGGACGCCATGACTAAGACTGTGATTGCCATTCGCAAAAAGGTGCGACCGGAGAACCCGGGGGTCCGCTGGAACACTCGCGCGATGGTGCGCCATGTTCAAACTTGGCAGGGTGAGAAGAGGTCTTTGGAGTCGGACTCGGAGCTGGAGGATAAAGAGGAGGAGGAAGCGTGCTCGGATGCGGGTGAGGATGGGGACGAGGGAGGCGATGCGGGGAAGGACGAACAGGGCGATGCGGCGCACACGAACGCTGGGGATGCTTCGACGGATCAGCAATTGTAATCGCTCTGTTTTGAAATATTTTTTCTTTATCAAGCATAGTTCTTCCTTTTCTTTCTCGTTTGTATTTGTCAAGACTCTTCCCGCTAATGCAATCCAAAACGTTTCGATTCCCGCGTATCTTTGTGAGCGCAGATAACTCGTGATCATTGCTGTTGTTTGTTCCTTCGAACTTTGTTGGCGCGAATAATTCATGATTATCGCTATTGTTTGTTCTTTCGAACTGTTTTGGCGCGAATAATTCATGATTATCGCTATTTTTTGTTCTTTCGAACTGTCTTGGCGCGAATAATTCATGATTATTGCTATTTTTTGTTCTTTCGAACTGTGTTGGCGCGAATAACTCTTGGTTATTGCTATTTTTTTGTTCTTTCGAACTTTGTTGGCGCGAATAACTCTTGGTTATTGCTATTTTTTGTTCTTTCGAACTGTGTTGGCGCGAATAACTCTTGGTTATTGGGTTTCGGGTCCGGAACCCGCAAGTCCTTATCAGGTTCAGGTTCGGTTTTAGCATAACCGAAACCTGAAAACCCAAACGCCTAAAAATACGGGCTGAGTTCTATTCATTGGAAGTTTTTAGCCGGAACCCGAAAAACCGATAAGCAAAACCGAACCCGAAACCTGAAACGAACCCGAACCCGAAAAACCAAAAATGCATATAATCGGGTCGGTTTCGGGTAATCCCGAAAAACCAAACCCGAATTGACACCCCTACAGAGAGCTGATTGGCATCCCGGAGCTGATTATATACATCGTGATGAGTATGATTCCTTTGATTGAGTTTTCTTCTCTCTCTATGGAGTAAACCTCCTCTTCACTTGGGTGTGTAGAACCCTAGTTCCATGTGTTAGATCAGTGTTGTATGAACCTTTGGATGTTAAACTGATTCATTATATTCAATTGAAGTATGAGTATTTGAGTAGTTTGAATCTTGATCACATTCTCTTAATTTCTGCTTTAACCTAGTATATATAGAATCTGATTGGGTTAATAGAGCTTCTTCGATTGGAAGTAGTGAATTGATCGTATGAGAGTCGATTGACTCTTTATTGGAATTCATTCCAATAGAGGAGATCTTCTTTTATCGCCTTAGCATTTTATTCCGGTGGAGGTTAGTTGCCCGCTGAGTACTGTGTCTAAGAGGGCTTGGTCGGTTTTATATATTCCAAGCTATTTTTGGATCTTTCTATTTTGATCATCACTAAAACAACTAAAATAAATTACAACTCATACATAATTGAGGAGCTAGGGTGACGCAAACCTTAGTTACCCTTCTTGAATTTGAAAACCAAACAATTTACTTGCTTTATTTGCAACTTTGTTTTCCTCAATTTCACGACAAATCTACAGCTAGATGATATAACATTCCCGGAGTAGGTTGTACATCTAGGACATGGGTTGACAAATAGAACTGAATTCACTTTACTACATTCTCTTTCACTGGTTATACTTGGCATGTGTTAGGAGTGTTGTGTTTTAGTGAGCCAGTATTTCACTTCAGGAATC